TACTGATAAATAACATTGATAATGTAGTGTTCTAGGGAGCACATTGATGTAACTTAGTAACGAAGAAATATTGATAAGGATCCGATACAAGGATCGAAACGTATATTTGAATATAATAAAGAATTTGACACACAATTACACCTAGTGTTTAGACTCGATTTGGCATTGATACACATATTGATTCAAAATAATTATGTAGGAAATTCAAGCATGAGGAACAATGCTGTAAAGAGTTTTGATATTCTAGTAATCAGTTTGAGCGTTCTGGACTCAGAGAAAGAGTTCCTCGATTCAAAGAAATGTTTCTGTTATATAATTAAAAAAAATTACTTTAATTTGAATGTCATTTCTTTCATTTGAACATCATTTTTTGAAATCAAATAAAAAATTTATTTGATTCATAATAGAATACCTAGCTAAACTTTCATGATATTTCAGCAAAATTTTTATAATTTTTTCCTCACTAAAAAAATGTACTAAATTTTAATAAATCATTTGTTTGAATAACTAAATATTTACTAAATATAAAAATATATTTGTTCTCTAAATTCTTTGAAGTAGAATCTCACTCTAAAGAATGAAAATTGAGCCAGTATTGAAAAAGAGTGGCTCAATTTTCAATCTTTAAGAGTCAGATTTCATTCTTCAGAATGAGATTCACTCTAAAAGTTTTAAAGAATATTTGATATAAGAACTATTAATTTGATGATTGAATTATCATTTTTTTATTGAATAAATATTTATTTACTATAACTAAATATTTAATTGGCGTTATTCAAATAAATATTTATTAAAATTAAGTATTTTTTCAGTGCGTGTTATAATATCAGCATATAATAAAATAAGACATACGTGACAGCAGCCGTGAGATCGGAGATCAATCGTATCCTCATTTCGAGAAAGTAACGGCATGATATAGACGCAGTAGATTTTGATCCGTTCTCAGCACATAGAAGCGTCGATTCTGAAATATAGCGATATAGATGTATAACAGCGATGTTTGAAGCGTTATAGTATACTCACATAAGCATGCATGCACATATGTAACAAGTGGACTTTAACGAAACAGTTGCGAGGATTTTTCGTGCGCGGGAGATTCGCTTTTATCCAGTAATAATCGTGATAAAATGCAATTGTTAATGTGGAAACAGTGTGACACGATACGAATCTGTCATGGCGCGCTTCGTTACTGATCGTGATTCTTGAAATATCGAAGCGGCGAGCCAATCGGAGCGATCGATTTCTTTCGACAACGTTTCATGAAAATAACCGTAAAGTCTTGTGTCCACGACGTTCAAAATCGATTCAAAATCTCGCATGAAGAAAAAATGGATCAATCACATTGGTTATGTAACGGAATTATTCAAATGTGATCTATTAATTTTTTCTCTGTCCAAGGAAATCCAAGGATCTCAGACATCATAGAGGTCTGTTTACGTTGCTTGAAATTAAAAAAAAAATGGCACTTAAAGCGAAATAATTCGAGCGTTGAAGAGACACACCCATAGAAAAATCATGTTTAAATTAAAGAAATCATTTCTTCTGTTGATTTTTTTAAATTAAAACGAAAACCTTTGAAAAAAAATAAAATTTACTTGATTTCAAGAAATGACGTTCTAATCACAGAAAAATTTATTCCATGTCAAGAAATAAAATTTAAATCAAAGAAACTTTTCTTTAACCGTATAGCAATGCACAAATTCCTTTGATTCAAATAATTTTTTTTTAATCAAAGAAACTTTTCTCTGAGTGCAGAAAGCGAAGATCCTGAATGCAAAAAATGTTCGCAACTCAAACAGATCTAAGGCTTAATATACTTCAAAGAAAAAATGAAAGAAGTATAAAAGAAGTGTAAACGACACGAACGTAGCTAAATCGTTTAATATAGGTATAAAATTTAAAACGTGCAGAATGGTCAAAAAGAGTAACAAATTACAAAAAAAGAATAACAAATTACAAAAAACATAATCACAAAATGATGATATATATAATATATACCTAGAGATGATTCCGTTTTTTACAATTTACAATTGGAAAAGTAATGGCGTCTAATCGGCGGAGAAGATTTTGGGTGGTCAATATTGAGATCATTACATATTGCACATAATGACTATTGCACGAGGCACGCATATATACACATACGTATATATATACAGCCGACATTTTGCGGAACAAAAAAGAGAATCTTTCGCGCGCGAGATTCACTTTTGAACGGCAAAAGAATTGATGAGTACGAAACGATAAAAGCGCGTCGCGAGACGTTCCATTACTGACTGTGGTTCGAGAATCGCAATATCGAATATCGCGATTCTCGATATGGCGGATCAATCGCAATATTTGTAATAATTGCGAAATCGATAGAAGAATTTGAATCCACGATCTAATGCGGTTTTTATATACTGTTTATATAAAAATATATATAAAATATTTTATTTAAAAAATATTCAGGATATCTTAATTGATCGAAGTAACAAATCACTCGAAATGTTTCCGTCAATAATTAATGTAATTTATATAATATATAGTTATGTATTTATATATCAGTAATTTTTATATAAATAATTTTATTGAACTATGTTATATTAATAATTTTAATAATTATTAATTAAATAACTATTTATTGTTGAAATAGAATATGAAAATAAAATATTAAAGTAAATATCTCAAAAAAGAAAAATAATGAATTACTTGCAATAATTTGTTGTATAAAAATATGCACGCGAAATTTTTTCTGATAATCGAAGCGACATTGGAAGATCGAAACACGCTGTCTCATCAGTTCTAATCACTGCGATTATTTTGACGCGCACAAGAATGAATACAGGATTTATTTATCATACCGACAGGATGCTATCGAAGACCCTCGGTGACTTGACTACAGCGAGCTGTCGTCGATAAGTCGACATGATTTGAGAGAGAGAGAGGG